TTGAAATTTAACCACGATTTCAAATATGTAAATAACTTAAGTTATGGATTAAAGATGAATACGAATTTTGCTTGGTACCAAATCTGACCTAATTTTTTCAGAAAGTTCAAACTCAAAATACTCCATGCTTAGGCAATATAAATGAATTTTAAGGACATGGTTAGTTTCAGGGCTATGATGTCTATATTTTATCTTTTAAAATCAAAGCCAAAGGACGCTTGTATGAAGAGTTTGAAATTCAGAAAACTCACCTTGCAAATGGAGATCGTGTTTTGAGTTTGAGCACTCTTCAAGGTGTTGTAATGACCTGGTTAGCTTCACTGAACCTCCAGGAAGCTATTGCAAAGGTTACTCTGAGCTAAGAGTGCCTGAATTGTAATGGAGAAGTCAATGTGCAAGGTGCTATTTTTGAAAATGGAGGATGGTGATGGAGGTGTTACAGTCATGTAACATGTGTTTGGTTAGGTTCTAAATGATATATAGATGCTTTGTGATTGATTTTGAGGAAGAACACACAAGTGAAATGAGAGTTTGAGGTGTAAGGTCAGAAATGGCACAAAAATGAGGTTGGTGAGCAATTATGAGTTTGAGGGAGTTTGGGAGAGTTTCTGAGCTTGCAAATTCGTATCCTTGACTTGTGAACAATGTCTCAATTTATAGGAAAAGTTTTGAGGGCTTGATGTGGTCAGAATAAAAAAATCACATGTTGTGTTCACTTGACTTGTTTTTGAAGCAAGCTTGACAAATATGGTTTCAAGGCAAGGTACAAAGCTTGTAGGGTGGCTAGAAGCTTTAAACATGCTTGCTCTGATATTGTAGATGAAGCTTGTGCAGAAGGAACAAGTGCAAAGCTCAAGACAAGTTGACTTTGTGATTAAAGCAACTTTTTTAGAATGACAATGGTGTCTTTGTGCCATAAATGGAAATGTAGCTTGGATAAAGGTTCAAACACTTGGACAAGGGCTTAATGAGTTATGTAAACATCTCATCATGGATAGATTTGTAAGTTAGAAGGCCTGCAAAGCAATATTATGCAGCATGGTTGAAGATTTGGTCAAGCGTTCATCCTAAACATGACTTGTAATTCAAGAATGAATGCCCAACTTATTGCCTTCGATTCTCTTATCTCAAGCATGATCTCTCCAAGTTCTGGGATATTTTGGAAATCTTGAAACATTGTCTACAACTTTCATGTTTTCCACTTTGGCTAAATCAAATTGGAACTATGTGAAAAATGACCAAGAAGTTGGGACAAAAATCTGCCTAAACTAGGTGAAAATTTTACCAAGTGTTTTTAGAAAAAGGTCATGACTTCATGAGCTTATAATTCAAAATCCAAGCATTTTTAGGACTTTATCAGCAAAGAAAAGTTAAATATTTCATCAAGATCTACAACTTTCATGTTGAAAGTTTTCTTTGAATCATCTTACATCTTGGTGAAAAATCGTCATGAAGTAGTGAAATTATTAAGGTTAAAACACTTAGAAATTTTTTAAGTATTGAAAAGTTTGACTTTTTTGTGGACTTTTGACTTTCTTGATTCTTGATGATCAAGCTTCATATTTTTTAATTTCTTGATGAATCTTGATCTTTGAAACTCAATTTTGACCAAAAAGTAAAAGTTTGACTTTTTGTGTAATAGTTGACTTTTTCATCAATTGATCAAATTTCAACTATCAATTGTTTAATATTGAGAAATGATTTGAGCCATGAAATTAGGTCAAGATATTGTGTTTGAATTCTTAATATCATTCTTCAAACCATTAAGTCATGTATTAGGTCAAAAGTCAATGATTGGTCATTCCCAGTCAAAACCCTAATTTTGACCATTTTGACCCTTTGATGATTTGAATGTTTTTCTTGAGGAATTGTGATCAAACCTTGATCAATTTATGAATATGACTTCAAAATATTGATATGGACCAAAAATCTTGAAGTTTGACCGTAGGTTGACCACAATTGACTTTTTACCCAATACAGGTGATTTTCAATCATCTGATCAATTGACTGAGCAAAATTGTGATCCAAGACTTGAAACTTGGCATGAGTATTCTTAGGAGTCTATAATGAACTATGAAAGTAAATTGGGGTATTAGAAGTCTAATTGTCCTTGTGAAAATCAAAATCCTAAGTTGGGGTCTCAGTGCTTAGGAGGTGGTTTGACCTAGTCAACACCTATGCAAGCTTGAGCCATTGAAGATCTTTGTGAGAAACGTCTTGAGAAAAGGGAGAGAAAATTTTGGGGTACAACACACTTCCAACCGCATTCATAAAGGCGTTATCTCGGTCGGTTACAATGACACTAGGAAATATTTTTTGGATTCTTCAACAAACTCTTGCATATATCCAACACCCATGTAATGTTGTCTTCTTTCTCCGATTCTAGAAATGCAAATCCAACCGAAAATATCTTTTTCGTAGAAGTGACACCAACAATTTCTAGAAGAGGAAGCCTATACTTGTTTATCTTGTACGTTGAATTAATTATAAGGACAGTTGGAAATGTGTTGAACAACTTGATACTTTCTAGATGAGTCCAAAAAATGTCACGGACACTAACTTTATCCTCACACTATGTACCTTGAAACATAGTGGTTATCGTCCTAAAGTTCAAAAGTTGTTGCATTTCGGATCTCAGGCCTCTATTCGTCACTTTTCAGTTGATAGCATTCACTATATATCTGCCTGATATTTGAAATACTTTGTGGTCTTTTCCATTTCAAATCAGCAAGTATGTTTTTAGGCGCAACTTTGATTATTGATATTTCCGAAATAATTTCCTTCTCCTCCGACTTAAGTCGACATACAATTGGATGACCTTGTAGCTTGGTGTCCAATGCATGATTATGTATACCATAAATGACATTAAATCGCCACATATCATCCATCCTACAGTATCCGGATAATTTAAACTGACACTCACATTTTCTCGATCTGGTGTCATCATATTTTAACTTCTAAATTTTTGGAATATATTTTCCACTTCTCTCGCATGTCATCGTTACAAATGCTTGCCTTCTACTAGTTCCATTGTCAGACCTTTCAATCGCAATTCCAAACCCAAGTTTACTAGCTTCCATTCGGACTCATTCGAGCATGTGTTGACGAGCACTGAAAATTTGATCATTTATAAATTGTTGTCGAACATCTATCTCGACATCAATCGTTTTAACATTGTCCTTCACCTCATTTGGCTTAGCATTGTCATTCACCATGTCCGAAACCTTTACAATAACTTTGGGAAACATGTCAGGGTGCACCATATCTAAAACGGGCAAAAACAGAAAATCTATTAACACAAAATTTTGTCTCTGTATCAGGGACAGTTTCAGATATGCATATCCTAAATATAGTAGGTGGATTTCGGATATGCATATCCGAAGTGACTTTGTTTTTTTCATCTCAAAATAGGCATCAATGCAATAAAATTAGGAAAATTTACCTTAAGTTGCAACTTCCTATGTTCTCTTTGATATGATAAAACACTTGAAATTTGGTTTGCAGACGAAAAGTTGATTGAAAATGATTGAAGTTTTGTGGTAGATTTTGGTTATGGGAGAAATGAAGAGAATGAAATAATGATAGGGGTGATCATGCAGCAAGCTGATATAGCAACAATATTTTTGGATATGCATATTCGAAAATACCACTAAAGGTTTAAATACAATGTTCAAATAATAACGTGTAAACATGAGTGTTTTCAGAGATGCATTTATGAAATACCTAAAAAATTGATTTAAAGTGTTTTTGGAGATGCATTTCCAAAACACCTTAAAAATTAATTTAAAATGCGTTCAGAGATGCATCTTCGAATAATATTTTAAAGTTTATAGAGATTTACTTCACCCATATAAGAGTGTATTAAGAGATTTCTATTTAAAATCATATATTCAAAGCTCTTTACGATTAGTATGTAGCCAAGGAAAACTACAACTTAGAATAAGGACTAGTTTCACGTGGTGTGTGAAGGTGATTAAAATTATGGTTAAATATGTTTTTAGTGCCTATAAATATTTCAATTTTTTTTAGTCTTTATAAATAAAATAATATATTTTGATCTCTATAAAATTTTTATGCATGTAATTTTATTCTCTATTATTTTCTAAAATTTTAAAAATTGTTTAATTATCTTTAAATTTTTGAATAACTTTTTTATAAATGTTTATAATACTATACTAAGTTTTTTTTATCAAATTTAAAATTTTTTTAAAATAAAAAGAATTAATATGAATTTTAAAATTTTAAAAGATAATAAAAATAATGAAAATCTCGATTTAGAAATCAAATTTTAAAAAAAATTTCAAATTTTTTTTTATATCTTTCTAAATATATCTGTAAAATAATCATTCAAAAATACACATTAATTTAACATCAGAAACTAAAATTACATACATAATAATTTTATTGGGACGAAAACTTGTCATTTTTTTATAAAAACCAAAAATAAAAATTAGTAATTTTATAAAGACCAAGAACTTATTTACCCCTTAAGATTAATATTAAGCTGCAGCTACTGCTTTTTTAACCACTTGGAAATCTACATCAGATTGATCAGCATTTGATCACCAATAAGTTTAAACACTTTGATCCATTTAAATTTATTAGCATTTAATCACAAACTAGCTTTGGATTCCCAACTTAACATCTCACATAAATAGAGACCTACATGAATTTCACTAAATATAAAATGAGTGCAAGAAAGAAAGTGTCAGAGCAAAGTCAATTTTATACTTCATCTCCAACTTAATCTACATTTAACAAATAAATCAAGAAACAGCCTCTAATTTTGTAGCTCATATGCTTTTGGTATCTTTGAAGTTTGAACCTATTTCCACTTCATTTATGCATTTTTTTTTTCTTCTTTTACATCTATATCAGTTTTTTCAAAGGAAAAGAAAGAAAAACAAATCAAGAAAAATCCTCAAAATCACATACCTATCAAACTAGTTGAAACAATGAGTGGAACAATGAATAATCTAACAGATTCTGCACCTCATGGCTCATGTGGTTATTTTTCGAAACCGTATAAAAACTGGGTTTTCTAAGATAGAGACAGGAATGTCATTCCAAACATCTGATTTAGTTGGAAGTCGAGAAATTTTCTCTAAAATTTGCAAGTCTTCAGATAGAACATAGCCAAAGACGGTATATGGATTTCTCCATTCTTTGTGATTAGCAAGGCTGATGAAGAACTCTGGACCCGAACCAACCCATGCCACGGATCCTCTTTTTATGGCAGGACAGTGTTCTTTTGGAATATCCTTGAACATAAACTCGTGGGATTCCAATGTTCCTTGAATTAGTGCAAAAGGAGGTCCAAATGTAGCCTACATCATCATTAGAATTCAAAAACATTAAACTAGAACCTTAGTGATACTTGACCGCATAAACTCAAATTTCAAAACAAGGTAAGACTCATGATGAAACTTACCTTTTTTATGTGGTTTCCTTTTGCATCCCAAAAACGTCCCCGGCTTTCGGCGCGATAAAACTGACAACCAATGCAATGTGACAGCGCCAACAGTTCAAGAATGTAGGAAACAGATTGTGGAGCACAGTCTGGCAAAAGCTGTTGCAATGAAAGTTCATAAAAAAAAAAAACAAATTAGGGCGAGAGCCCAATTTTTCGGTTTCAACCTATCTATTAAACAACTAGAGTAACATTAGATTTTCAGAATTCATATGTAGTAAGACAAAATACAAGACATATTCAGCATTTTGAATACAAAATAATAAGTTAAAGTGAGCGATGAGAATCATAGACAAAGAATATAGCGGATATGTAGAGAAATACTTACCTGTATACGAAGAATTCCATAGTCGTTTTCCAAGCCAACAATGCCCTAAAAGTACAAACATACAATGAAAAGATAAATATAAAGTTCAAAGAATTAGAGAAACAAAAAATACACATGAAACAATCAAATAGCTAAAAGAAGAACACAGTGACAGAACAAAAGTATAATGAGAATATACTTTGAGTGCATTATCATGAACATAAAACATTGCTTACAAATTAAATATACTTTATGGATAATTTTCAATATTATGAAAAAACAAAATTCATTAATACATATCATGTTCTCAGAATGAAGCGATTCAAGCATAAAGTTGGATTCTAAAACATTGTTGAGACAGATGCATATCTCAAATAGGTATTTTCAGTACATGTATGAGAGAAATAATCACAACAACAATATATTCTTACCTCTCCCTTATCAAAGACAAATCCAGAAGTCCACATAACATTATCTCTTGGGGCCGAGTTTACTCGATCGGGGCTTAAAGCATCTTTTTGTTGTTTTAGCCAACACTGAAATGAAAGTAGGCAGTGATATAACACCAGGTAAAGTACTAAAGTGCATATAAATTATATGCCTAAGAGATAGGAATTTTCAAACCTTATACAATTGTACATTTAAAGCAATAATAAAACAAACTACACAAAGCAGTGACAGTTTACCAACGTATAGTTGTTTCATATAATACACTACAAAAAGCAGTCACTAGTCAGTAAAGTTGTTTCATATAATACACTACAAAAAGCAGTCACTAGTCAGTCAAAAGTTCTCTAAATCGTGTAATTGAACTTTCTTTTATATAAAACAATAAATAATCAACAAATAACCCCGTGTTTATTTATCATAATTAATCAACTAACTAATCAAGTTAGCCTAAATGCCAGAGTAGTCAATCCTGAATATCGGCGCGAAGCGGGGCCGACCCCAAAAGTGGAATAACGGGATAACGTATAGTGGAATGACAACACTATTTGATCTTTTTTTGGACAAATTACATATAATAATTATAAACATATATTTAATGTAAAACTAAACAAATAACTCAACTCATAAAATATTCGAAATCAAACCACACATGACTCTTGAAGTGCATAAACCACTATGAAGGAAGGATAAGGTTGAGTCTAAACTCAAATTTGATTGAAAAACCCAAAATTATCCTTAAAACGTTGTAAATTTGACGGGTAAATTCGGTTTTTAGAGGGGAAAAGATACAAGCGAAAAACTGCTCCAGGCCGGGAACCACTATGCTCCACTATCCCGCTATGTACTCTATAGTGGCCGCTAAGGCTCTTCCCATAGCAGTCGGGCTCTGGTCCGCTACGCTATAGCGGGATAGTGCCGCTACTGGCCGCCATTGACTACTCTAGCAATATCGGCTTCTGCCAATTAAGCTAGGATTTGCGGCTTCGTCTACACGGCAAATAACAGGAACATAACATACACATTTTAGTTTAATTTTAATACACTCTACACTGTCAACAAATCACAATAAAAAACGTATGTGTGAAACTGACTTTAGAAACCATTATAATTAAAGTTGAACATTTTATACTATCTAACTATTGTGATTGATTTCCAGTGTAAGCAATCATCATATTTCTAGAGTATACCAATTTTTGTTATATGGAATAGAAATTTTCCCAAATGAATTAAGATCGTCATTATCATAAACCACAATCCATAATAAGAAATAATCAACCAAAGTTATAAACCTAAAACAAACAAAAAAAGAAGATAGAATTGCAACAATACCTCACCAAATCTAGGTCCACAAGCATCTCTATCACCACAAAAAACCCAAGAATTACACAAACAACGTTGCCCATCACCCCGACACAGATTCTTACAAGCCCTACAACAATCCTCAGAGGAATTCACCCTAAAATCATTCCCCCATCTCACCGCTTCACCCCACAATTCCAAATGCTCAACCCCTCCACAACATTTACCTTCTTCCTCACTCAACAAATCCTCAAAACCACTCCTTTCAACCAACGCCTCATCCTGCATTGTCACCACCGATGCAGTGTTCACCCTGAAGACCAATGTCAGGAAAAGGAATACCGTGGAACAGGAGATTGCGCCTATCAGAAAGAATACGAGAAGCGTGAATTTACCGAAATCTGAGTCGTTATAGCGACGACCCATTTTTGTTTTCAAATTATGAGTAATGGTGTCCGCGAAGGACAATGTGATGAGAAGAAGAACAAGAACAAGGTTTGTAGATTTTTCATGTTTTGTTTTCTTGTTTAAGATGAACTTGGAAACAAAATGCTAAAAGTATTGCATCATCGTCACCATGAATGTCTATTTTCGACACGTTTCATACTTTCCTTTTTGTTTTTTCCTTTGCCTTACTTTGCTTTATTTGTATTTTTTTTCTTTAACTTCTATTTTTTAACTCAAACAACTTTTCATTCATTTTTAAATCTACATCTTTATTTTTTTTTTTCAAATTTTTATATCTACATTTAGTCCCAAATCTGATTTTTTTTAAATATTTTCGCTTAAGTGCAAGGGATTGAATATTGCAAAAGTATCTATAACCTAGTTTGGATTGATTTGAAAGGGAAAACTCATCTGATCTAAAAGTATATATTTGTTATTGTTAAACATTAAATATGAGATTTTCCTGTTGTTCGGAGGTGTTTCCAGTGATTTCTGGTAAACAACCGCTAGTCCTCCAAACTATCGAATAATCTTACTGACTGTTATTCAATTTCTCTGGTAACTCGCAGGATTGACTAGATTGATCCTAGGACGTGTTGGTCATTAGGGTAACTCTCATGATCGAACTGGTATTCATGGTTGGTATTTGGAATGTTGTGTAGGTGCTTAACTTACTTCGATTACTCTATTAAAATCTAAAGGCATGATCAAGTAAATGTGCGCGAAAACCAAATTGCATGAATGAAGTTCAATTGTAAAGACATGTAAAAACTGCATAAAGGACAAGTAAATGACTTCGAAGCATAAAAGCAGTTAATGTAAAAGATTCTCTGGAATGTAAAAGATTCGAAATATGAAGAAAGCGTTTAAATGCGAGAAAACTGTAAAATGACTTTAAGTAAAAAAGGTGTTCGAATGATAAAAACTTGAAGAGAAAGGCATGAAATGTATAACAGTTTCTGAAATGTAAAGTATTTGAAATGGAAAGAAAGCATTTAGATGTAAGGCATCAATAAAAAGACTTCGAATGAAAACATTTTAAATGCAAAAGCTTGTAAATGGTATTGACATGAAGATAAAGGAAAGTACTGGAAATGATAAAGAGTTTTTCATTAAATCATAAACATGTGGTGTTATCATACGTACATTGCTCGTGCATTCGTTTCCCTAGCCATGTGGTATTTTGAATGTTTACTGAGTTTTTTGTACAATAGATATGATACACGAAATCCGAATGCTAAGACTTATATTTATACTACTTCGACCATAACGGTCTTGCTATAAGATTCTGCCACGTTCAGAACATGCAGAGCAATGCCTCTCTCTTGCTTCCACGCGTCTTCGAATGCTCCAGCGCATATATTTCAAATTTCGAACATCCCGCTTGCATTTGAATTTCAAATGTTTTGGCACTTCTTCGCTTCGAACGCGTTTCTTAGACATAGCCTTGTTATCATTTCGAAGCTTCTTTTGAATATATTCTCATAACTGTCACTCGAAGCCCCAAGCTTTGATATGCCCATTCGAAGCACTGCTTCTATCATTTCGAAACATGACATTTTGCTTCATTTCAATCGAAACGTCCAATTTACTTTGCTTCTAATAATATCATCAAAATCTTCAGCCAACAAAATGCCCCTTTAAAATATGTATTTCGATTCCTTTGAGAAATACTTATTTTAAACATATACACAAGATTTTGATGCGACCTTCGAATCATCGTAACATTTATTGCATATGACTCCAGTCACGTCAATCATAACGCTTTTCAGATTCCTTAACCGCCTTGAACCATTTCACAGTATGGTGCAGTTACAAAACAATGATTATCTTTAATCACGCCTATTACCAATATTAACTTTACGCCACCTATTCATCAAACCAACCCACGACTACCACGTATCACAATCTTACTCAGTGGATGCTTAAACTTCCACATTATAAAAACCCATCAACTTAGTCTTTTCTTTTCTTCCCATATTCTGAATCTTTTCTCCTTCTTTTCTCACCGAAACCCTAAACTTTCAACATTCTTCCAACAATGTCTTCTTCAACTTCATCTCAACTAAAAAAGGCTTCTAAAAAGAAAGGAAAGACCGCAGGAACCACAATGGAAAGCAAGGTTGGCACCTACCAAGGTCAATCTGTCCTTGTTCCCCAGATGATCTCAAAAGAGAAAGAAATGCTTTATGCATCCCAGGTACTAATTCCTACTAATGCTGCTGGCAAGAGGTTAGCTTTAATGGGCCCTCTTACAGTTTTTGAAATTTTAAAAGACACCAGAAAAATTTCCCCAGTTTGCTATAATTTCAAACCTCTGTTTAATAAAATGGACGCCCCTAAGACAATAGAGTCTTCTGGTTCAAACACCGTGGAAAATCCAATCATTCCTCCTAAGGATCCTTTTGTACTAGACTATGTAAAGAGTAACTTCAAACCGTTTCGATCTTGCCCCACCTCCGACATTGCTTATCATAACTGGTTTAATAAGGTAGAAGCTAAGAAATCCCAGCAATGGGAAGAATTAGGTATCTACAACTTGATTAAACTGTCGAAGCCAGGTTTTACTTATAGCCACCCATTATTATTCGCGTCCCTATATTTCTGGGACAATACTTATAATACTTTCCATCTCCCTGGTGGAATGATTACCCCTACCTTTTTGACATAGCGGCCATTACTGGGCTATCACCAATAGGAGAAACATATATCCCTGACAATGAAGAGCATTCGAGTATTATCGACTTCGAAGTCAAGCTAGCAAGCTTTTCAAAGTTTATCAGCCACTATCACACTGAAGGAGACAGTGTGTCGGATGTAGAACACATTGCTTTCCTTACCTTATGGCTGTCAAGGTATGTCTTTTGCAGCAGATCCCTACAGGTAGCCAGTAGGTTTATTCCTCTAGCTAGAGATTTGCATGAGAATCGGAGGGTGTGCTTAAGCGAACTTCTATTAGTTGATCTTTATGAAAGTCTAAGGTCAGCTGTTTCGAGTCTAAAATCTCACACCTCCAAGAATATCCTGCTAGCTGGCCCTTTCTGGTTACTTCAGTTATGGCTAAATGCCATGTTCGAACCTTCATTATCAACTGCCAACACTATTGCTGAACAAGACCCAGAAATAGTGGATAGAATCATCGAAGGCACTAGGCTGCGAAGACTAACCCCAAACGATGATAAGGATGACTTCAAAGTTCTATTCTCAAAATATATCATGATATTATCCAAGAGGCATAAGTTCGAAGAGACCATGGCGCCTTTTGCTCCAAGGGCTCATGGACCTTCATGGTTCACCATGGCTCTCTCAGAAGCTGTCAAAAGCAAAGAAATTCAAGATGTATGGAGAGCCTTTTTGCTGCCCAGACTAATCTCTTCAAGAATCACTCCTGCTAAGAATCAAATTTTCCTTTTTGCTTATCAGCCCAACTTCGTTTCGAGACAGTTTGGCTTGTGCCAACTAATTCCTGAACCCCTATTTCAAATGGAAAATGCCATCACCTCTGGGCGAACCTTCAAGGCACGAGAAGCCAAACTACAGCAGGAACAATACCAAGGCTTTGCCCATTTTGAACTAATAACCTTAGAACCTACACACCTTACAGCAAAGGGGTTTCTGGAATGGTGGACAAAGTTCTATCAGACTTATATGTTCGATACTCTTACTATTCAGCAGAAACTAACTGATGCATTCGATGTGCAGGTACCATGCAAGAAAGGTATGTTCACTCATGCCAAAGAGATTAAAGCTTTTCAAAATTATTTTGAAACTACTTATGATCCCACACACTTGGAATCCACTGTGCATCAAGCGGCTGAGACCTTGAAGGAAAAATTCAAAGAAAAAGTTTCTAAGTTAAAACTTCCTTCAGGGTTGTCACCTGAGGATAGGTATAGGTTGGCATTCGAAATGCATCCACCTAAATTTCCTAGATTACCTACCTCAGAACTGGCTCTGGCTTGGTTTCCTCCATACCCTTGGTGGTTCACTTGCAAAGAAATGTTCAAATATCTTCAAAAGAAACCAAAGCCATCTGAGACTGTGACATGGGCTCGACACTGGCTCCACGATTTCCCAGGACATCTTCGCTATGACCTTTCTGCCATGTCGATTAAATCTGATCAAGGCACAGGTGCGAATGCTTGGGAAAATCCCAAACGTTTCTCATTTTCTATATCTTTAACTTTTGCCTTAATTGTTTCGATTTTCAGCCATCAGGATAAAGACTGCTGCTTCAAAGTCAAAAGAAGGGAGCACCTCTCAAGCCTCTATCGAAACCATTGACAATGTGACTCCATCCGAACCAACAACAATTGCTGCAACAACAACAACAACAACACCAGTAATAACCAGTGCTCCAACTCCACAGGTAATCACTTAGCCTTGATGTTCGAATACACTAATGCTTCATGATTTGCATCTAACTTTTTGTTTGAATCTTTTCAGACCAACAAACTTCCGCCTACCACACCAAAGAAGCGAAAAACAAACACTACTGGGGAAGACCCCAAGGCTGGAGGAAATTTACCAGCTGCTTCGAAGAAGAAGCAGAAGAAGGATATTTAAAAAAGTGTTGTACCCACTAGTGTCTCTGGACTCGACTCCAGGGATGCTGCTCCCTCACCTAAATCCAAAATTCCACCTTCGACCTCCAACGTAATGTTGGAACGCATAGCTAGCAACCTCTCTTCCGAGAGTCCACAGGTAAATTGAACTTTAAATTTCTTGAAAATAATTTCTCATTACCTTGGTGCATGCTTTTAATATTCTTTTGCTTCTTGCAGGATATTTTAAATCCAGCTTTTACCACTTCGACTTCACCATCAAAAGCTGCTGCTCCGATCAACTCTTCTCCTCAAGGAGATTCCAGCAACCTTGTACAGAATAAAGGTTCCTCCAATATGGCGGTTCTGGCTGGGACTTCTGAGCAGCAAGATGATCAGAGTACTTCTCCTCCTCTAAAAGAAACAAATGAAGCA